TGTGCCCCCCCTGAGATTGGCCCTCACAGGCAAGGGTGTGGGGGCACTGAGAGAAGTGTTAACCAGTGCCTACCCCCACCCCACCAAGATTGGCGCCAGCCAGGGAGTGGGGGCACCGAGAGAAGCGCCAGTGGCATTTCTGGTTTTGCCGCCAACACTTCTGGGGTCGGCAGTCGGCCATTGGGGGTCTCCCTCCCCGACCCCAGTCAGCGATCGGCTGCTGGTGCCCCTCCAGACTCAGGAGGCACCAATAACCCATGTTTCAATCATTTATTTCATTGCAAGGACAAGCCTTTTAAAAATACAAGTAGTTTGAGAAATATCTCCTTTCTAATCTCCTATGTAGTGGGATAGATTTACCATATTTACTCAAATAAAAGATGACTCTAATTATAAGATGACCCCCCACAATAATTAGATTCTACATGTGGAAAACCTATAAATTTGTTATAATTTTCCAGGTATATAATCTAATTATTGGAGGTTTGCCTATAATTTATCCCCCATCCACTGCTACAGCAGGGAAAATAAATCTGGGGGGTCAGGTACCCCTTTGCTCTCTGCTTCCCCCTAACATTTTCCCCTGGCAGCCCCTTCCCCTACTCTTTACTGTCAGACTTTGCTCTCCCTGAGGACATGGAAGTGAGGAGCAAATTTAAAAACAATAACCTTGAAATTATCAGTGTTGCTCAGTGTTGGCTGCATTTAATCAACTTCAACTTTCCATTGCTGAGCACATGCTGCTTTTGGCAGTAGTTTAATTATATACAGTGTGTTTAGTTAGATTTCCTTGTATGCGATTATAAAATGAAGGGCTTTCCCCCCACCATGCTAATTGTGGGGAAAAACCTTGTCTTGTATTTGAGTAAATACTATAAATCAGGCTTAATGGAGTGGAGGCATATTTTCTGAAGAATTTATCCCCCAGTAAGTCTTACTTAGGTACTAAACGGGTCAGATTTTCAGGACCTGAGAATAATGGAATTGCTAGGTACTGAGCAGTTTTGAAAATGCCACTCTACCCATAGCTATTGAGCAATCTTGAAAATCAGTCCCATAACATTTTCACCTTCTTTGGTGGTGCAAGGAGGCAAGCTTGGATTGTGGACATGGAACTTCAACAGTAGTCATTCCCAATGAACACCTTGCTGGGGTTGTTTAACCCCAGTACTCTTTCCTGCCATGGCAGGGGGTTGGACTAAATGATCTTCTCAGGTCCCTTCTGACCCTAGAAACTATGAAACTATGAAACTAAGCTGGGTTGAAAGCAGAAGTATCTTTTGACACTTACTGAATTGCTGTGGTGGAATAGTAGCTTCATCAGCTAGTACATTGATGCCAAATGACAGCTGCAGCCCTGCAGTGACATACATATACCTTCTGCTCTCAGGAGGCCTGTTTGAGAAATGTCATCAAAATATGGCTGCTTGGTCATTTCCAGTGCAATTTGACAAGAAGCTAAGTGTCCATCTTTCCTGTTCTCTGGTCTGACCACCTCTTTTTCATGCCTGTTTGGCCTAGAGCCAGTTTTGAAACTGAAATATCTGACTTGTGGTTTTATTGTACCTTTAAAAGAAGAGAGACAACTCACACTTCTAAAATTCAATCTTTTCCTAGACCTTTGACAAACACATTTAATTTGCAAGGATTCTCTTTAATAGAACACTTGAACTTTATCATACCATCGTTCCCTGGAAAAAAACATTTATATAAGTTTTAAAGTACTTGGGCACTGTAAAAAGAGTGAGGTTCCATCTTCTCCTAATAACTTTAGACCATAAAAAGCTGGAGTTTTCCATCTTCAGTCAATCATGATCAATAATATTACAGGAGAGCTTTTACAAACATTTTTAGTTATGCCTTTTTCCTCCTTTATTACTATGCCTGCAGTAAAGGAAGTCTTCAGTGATATCCTGATTTTTAATGACACCTGCTTGAAATGGAGGCGAAACATAAAGAGAACTGATATGGAAGAGAGATATTTAGTAAGTAATACATAATTTAAGTGTTTGATTCTGTGTTGCTATAAGAAGAAAAAATTAATCAAGTATCGACAATGCCAAGATTCTTTGTGCCATAGGCGACTGGTAGGGGGTGCACAGGAGTGCACGTGCCCCCCCAAAGGGGCTGATACCTCCTCCCTCCCCCCCTGATGGCTGACACTGATGCTGTCGGTAGGGCTGGTGCCCCCCCTGACACGGTCGGCAGCTTTCGCAGGTGCCCCCCCGGATTCAGGAGGCACCAGTCACTCATGCTTTGTACATTGCTGCTATTGGAGTTCCTCACTCTACTAACCTGGTAACAGAGATCATAGTAATGGGGAAACTAGCATGCATGACATTTTAAAAATTCAAATACACACTCCTGTGCTTTTTGTGATGTTTCTTGCTTATGTCTTTTTCTTGCTTATTTTTTAATCTTCTTTCCTTCTTTTCTTTTCCTCATTGTCTTCTCTGCACTGGCCTCAGACTCCATCCTATACTAGCCCTTTCCCTCTTCTTCAGTCATACATGCCAGTTACCTTGCCCCATCCCTTGAATGAGCCCTCCTTGATATGAAATCTCTGGATAGTTCATCTATACTGAGTCCTAAATTGGCTTTTTTCCCCTCTAATCTGCATGCCCTTGAGTAGCAGTCAGCTACCTTTTAAGGCTGTGAGGTCTGATTAGCCCAGTTCAGATTAGAGGGCAGAAGGGTGCTAGGTACCAGCTGCTGGTAGCACTTTTCTCCACTATGGTTGAAGAAAACACCTACCACCACTGCTGCTTTTCCCTGCACCATCATGGGGAAAGCGCCTGCTGCTGCCACTTTAATGCGTGTTGGCCGCTGCAGCTTTTCCCCATGGTGGCATTGGGAGTGACTACTGTTGAAGTCCCATGTCCACAATCCAAATTAAAAGGCTCTGAGGACTGCATCCAGCCTGTGGGCCATAGGTTGTTGACCCCTGCCCTAGGGTGCCCTTGACTTGAGTGTACTGCACGCTCCTAACTGAAGAATGGCAGATGAGAGTCAAAGAGAGCAGGCAATCTATTTTTTCCTTTATATAAATGCCTGAAAATTGATTGTGAAAATTATTAGTTTTGAGTTAATAACATTGTGACCACTTAGGGTACAAGCAGCTGCAAAAACTCAGGTCTGCAACAGGGAACTACAAATCCATAATCTAATCCTGAGCAGCACGTGGCGTTCTCAGCGCGTTCTGAGCACAACAGGATTTGAAAGCACTGAACCTTTCAGGATCAAGCACCTGGCATGCATGGGAGTTCATTTACCTACATGTGCTGATTTAAAAAATGAGGGTGCACCAGTCAGATACTTCTCTCTCTTGGCAAGTCATGAGTATAGACAGGTGTCAACAATTGTTGTGATATGAAAGGACATCAATATTAGCTGCTAGATTATTATAATCAATATTAGCTGCTGCAATCATTACATTTGAATTATAATGTTGTGATACAACTATAGCAAAACTGCTCTGACTTGAGCTGTGCTTGTGCTTTGCTTAGGGTCAGAGTTATGCAGGGTTAGCTAATTTGTATTGCTACAGAATTAAGTAGATGTAACAGTTACAGTGTAACAGCTAATGCACAGCCTACCCCTTCCCTTTTAAAGAATGAAAATGCACATTTGTCCATTCCCAAAGTCATAACTTCAAGATTTTTTTCTGTATTGCAAAAAGGGTTAGGGAAGTCAAGGAAAGAAAAACTAAGTGCCAGAGCTAGTTTTATTCCAGTGCTGTTTATGAATAATGGTCTGTTTCTTCATAAAACTTGAGAATATTTTGATTAGGATAATACTGAACAACATTCAGGCTCTATGCTTGTATATATTGTATATATGTGTATTTTCCACAAGGGTAAAGTAACAGCTTTTTATGTTTTTGTATAATAAATGAATATGAAGAATTGAAATGGCTCATTTTCATTGGGCATGGATAGGTGTAATGTTCACAGCACTTCAAACAACTTTAAAACACTATGAAAAGTGAGAGAGCAGGTGATACTCAGTGCTATAGTGTTACAAAGCAGCCAGAACCATATTAAAAATGTCTCTGGGTGAAACAGGGATAATTTTGAAACCCCTTAAAGGAAAACTTTAGCTGGGAGCAGTGGTACATCTGTGCATTCCTGCCATGCTACAAACGGAAAAAATCTTCAAAAAAAGGTGGCATTTGAAGTGCTTTATACATTTGTCTGTCAATACGCATTGTTGTGATTTTCCATTGCAGTTTCACATACGAGGCCGACGCTGGTATCAGCAGGAATTCTTTCATGAAATGACATTTAACCTCACCACGTACAAGCTAACTCCAGAAGTTTGTCTGGATTTACAGCCTGGCACTAATTACTCTGTGAATATTTCCATCACAGCTTTGGATCTTTCTGTGCTAGTTTCAATGACAACTGAAATTACTGGTAGGTCCAGCTATTTATTTACCATGTTTACTCAAATCTAAGACAAGGTCTTTTTCCCCATTAAACATGGGGGGAGGCCCTCATCTTGGATTTGAGTACACGGCTATGTGTGGAGGGGAGAGGGGCAGGTAGCTACGGCACCTCCAATTCCGGGCCCTACTCGGGGTCAGAGCTGGAGCCACCACTGTTGCCTGCCTGCCCTGTGCTGCCTCTGTCCTGTGCCGCTCTGCCCCCGCCCCTGCCTGTCCCCAGTGCTGCCACCTCTGCCCCACAGCCTCTTCTTCCCTGTCTGTCTCCCCATCATCTGCCACTCCCCTTCTGCTACCACAGCTGCCACTTACTGGGTGGGGTGGGTAGGGGGTAAGCTCCAGGGGATGCAGGCACAGAGGGCACAGGCATAGGGGGGCAAGTGGCATGGGTGGCAGAAGGCCAGGGCTTGTGGGGGTGTTAGTCCCCCAAACTCATTTTGCAGTGGCCAGTGACAGCAACAGGACCATGGCGCCACACAGTGTGCATCCAGGCAGCACCACACGCATGCTCAGCTCCAAGCGGCTGAGGAAGAAGAGTCAAACCACACATGCATCGCATTGCACAGAGCACGATGGGAGCTGTACTTCTTGTGCTCATGCATGCATGCATGCAGCCCCCCCAAATAATATTTTCTTCCTCCATCTATGGTGAGTGTTGAGGGAGCAGGTGCCAGGGGGGCAGGTACTGTGGCAGAGGCAGGTGCTAGGGCACACTGGCACTGGGCGGGGGCTGTAATTAGATTCTAGACATAGAAAATTATAAACAATTCATAATTTTTCCATGTATAGAATCTAAGTATTGGAGGGTCATTTTAAATTCAGACTTATCTTGGATTTGGGGAAATATGGTACAGTAAAAGCTGTGTTACTGCTTTACCACTCGGAATGCTCTATTAACCAACATCTATCATAGACGGCAATACAAATCTTCCTTCACATATCTGGAAATACTCCGATAGCCATCCAGCACCTTGCCGTGCGCTTCTCATAGATCTGTCATTTATGGAAGCTTCAGGATGCTGCCCAGCGATGTTGCTAGCAGCAGTCTCAGTTGTACACATCCACCATTGTGATTGCATTGTATTGTGACTTATAACTCAGATAACTGGCATATTTGATGAACCAGCACTCCCCATTCCCCATGGATGCTAGATAGCAGAGCTTTTACTGTAGTTATTTTTTATGGAGTGACCCTCGGGATGAGTGACAATATGGCCACTTGACCAGCGAGGGTTGTGAAAAGAGTCTGCATTCAAAAGTGCACGTGATTCTTGAGTTAGCAAATTCATGAGAAGGAGGGGCATTGGCTTCTGTTTGATTTAAAATGGCAGTACAGCACAGCAGAGAAACTAAAGAGAAGATACATGTGCCAACAATTAGGGCATCTGTTTAAGACTCAGGAGACTTGTGCTGGGGCATAAAGTTGAATGCAGGCTTCTTGTGTAAGTTCAGTCAAGTCATGCAGGAACTGAAGCAGAAGTTCCAATCCCCTGTACTCCGGTGGGGCTGAGAAAACCACAGAAGTACCTCTGTCCCCTGCCTTCTCCCCCGCCCATCCAGAGACAGCAGCTGCAGTTTGCTGTGCTGCAGCCAGAACAGACAAAAATGAATTAAGTTACTCCACTTAGGAGCAGCTTCATTTGAACCCTTATACAATGAGGGTTAATTTGTTGCACGATTGGAGTGCTCTGCAGCCATGCTCTTCTGTTTGGGTATCGCTTTAGAGTGATTTCAAGGGGCCGATCAGGTGACAAATGTCATTTCTATTTGTGCCCAAAGACACTGTCTGTAGAACAGTGATAATAACCTTTCTTTACTTGATGTCGGTGTTGGAAGAAGAATTACACTGAAGACTGCGAGGGGTCTATTTTGTAGCTATGTTGGCCTGAGACAAAAAGAAATACAAAAATTTAGAACTCTTGGTTCAGAGAGAACTTTTATTAGACCAACAAAGAAATCGCAAAAAAAACTATCATTTTCTCTAAGCTTTTGGGCTCACACATCCTTCATCAGTTTTCCCTGAGCCTGATGAAGGGTATGTGAGCCCAAAAGCTTATAGAAAAAGATATTTTTTTTGCAGTTTCTTAGTTGGCCTAATAAAAGGTATCATCTGTGAACCAAGAGTTCTAGATTTTTGCATTTCTAACTGAAGACTATGAAGCACTCATATATTCTGATAATGGGAGTCCCACAAGTACATCAGTTTGTTATGCAAATTGTCAATTGCCCAAATCATGAGTGAGAACTTGTAAGGGAGGATAAGGCAAGATGCTGCGTTCATTGATTAAGTGACACACACACACACACACACACACACACACACACACACACACACACACACTTTTGTTCTGATCTGGTATACTTTCTGTTCTGTCCTGGTATACATTACCAGTTTTATCAATACTTGAATCAACTTGGTGGCCAGGCAAGTTGATCATGGGTAGGAAGCCGAGTTCCTGCTGGTCCATCTTGTCAGATGAACCGATGCTCCGGGATAACATGCAGAACAAGACCCAAAATTGATATGTCTTGCCCCATCTTTTGTAGTCTTGTCAATTCACCCACTCTTCTGTGCTTTTGCTGAGTTATTAAGCAATAGGAAAAAAGTCTATGTGTATAACAAGTTAAGTAGCTTTATAGTTTGTGAATTTAAAAGGTAGTTTATCTAAGGGCCCCGTTGGGAGAAGGAGAAAGGGATATGTATTTTATGTTACGTTTTTCTTCCAGAATTTTGTTATAAGAGCATTGAGCTCGTTTTGATTGCAGTTAAAGCAGTCTAGATTATTTTTGTTCTGTCCCTCTACTGCAGACCTTCAGTGTTGAGATTATTAGTTTTGTTCAATAAATGGTGAGACATTAGTGTTGATATTGGAGCCAATCCTTTTTGTTTTGGCCACAGATGAGACAAATGAAGCAGAGGAGACCTTGCAAGCTGTTTGAACACTTCTGTAACTGTGTTCAGCCACTAGGTGAAGCTGTTTATCTGCTGGATGTCCATCAGGAAATAGCAAGCTAGTTTTGTGGTACAATTTTCAAATTGTGGATACTGCAGTTTTTTGGGGGGGAGTTAATGGTAAATGCAAATTTTTCAAGCTTTGTAAAAAGGGAAATATTTTGTGTGCAAATGTTAGTGTTTAGGGTACATGGTGTTCTAGATTGCTTTATCTATGTACAGGAATTGTTTAGTAAGCTTTGCTAGGAAATTGCCTAACTTTTGTTCAGAAATAGTGTGTCTCCTCACATAGTCTATAAAAATAAGGCATGTCAGAACAGAACTTGATACACAAAGGTACTATAGACTACAGGCTGCTGAATTCTTCAGGCCTTCCCCTTTGCTTTGTCATCCTGCCAGAATTAAGCTGGGCAAGTTTGGACCAGTTCCATATCAACTCTGAAGACCTCTGCAAAATACTTTTCAGCAAGTGCTCCCTGAAGTGGTATTGACAGTTTGAAAGCTGGCACAGTTTCGTCTGAGCAGAGTTAGTATTTAACAAATGCACTAGGACAATCCAAGGAGAAGTAGCATCTTGTGGAGTGACATAAAAAATAGGTCAGTTATTGAGGGTCTGTTTGGTGCAGGTTCCATTTTACATTTTGCAAAGTAAAGAGCAATGGTGTTTGAGTTGCTTTAGATTATGCTAAGTAATGTGCAATTTAAAATTAACAAAACTCTATCAATTATGTTTAAAAATATTTAGAAGGAACAGTGTTTGATAAGGATGTCAACATTCCTCCTCAATGCTTATATTGTGTTACAGTGTGCTGTGATAGTGTGCTGACTAATGACAACCAGAAAGGAAAACTGGCTAGTCTGTTTTGTGCTCCGAGCAGAAAACCAAATGTAGATCATTAATAATGGAGATCAATGTCAGATTTTAACATTCTTTCTGTCTAAGTAATTTTAGCTGATAAAGTATCAGTAAAGAAATCCTTAAAGTAATTAATTGAACAAAGTCCCTTTAACTTCTGAACTGTGGCTGAAATCCTAGTTAGGGAATTAAATTCTTTCTGCCTAAATTTGCCCTGCAGTTTGTTTAACACATATACTAAAGTTCAGTCAAGCTGAGTCATAGATTTATATTTCAGAATGTGGGATCAGATCCCCAGTGGTTGTAAATTACTGTACTGTAGCCAGGGATGTATGGCTAGAGGGCACCTCCTGTATCATTGGAGTCAGTCACTTCTGCATATAGGCAAGTCAAGATGTCATTGACTTCCGTGGATTAACTTCAGTTTACAATACATGAGGGTCCCAGCCATTGACTGTATATTGCTGTGGAACAGAGGCCCGAGAGGTTAGATGAGCCTCATATCATTTTAATCAAGTTCCTCTGTGGAAGAAATTAAGCAGGTTAGAAAGCATTTTCAGTGTTAGCCTGTGTCACTTAATTAAATATGTAAATGCTAATGACAATTTGTTCTATATAAAGAAAGAGATGCATAGGTTTATAAATGTTGGTCAGGAAACCTGCCCTAGTTTTAGTTAGCCTTAATGAGGGAATTCATGAGGTTTGTAATGAAATGCATGTCTACAGAAAAAGTCCAGGAAATCAGCAGCCTACTCCTCTCCTTGCCATAGAGTGCCTGACAAGCAGTTTCTTTTTGGCATTTCAGTGAAGAGCACATAATTGTACTTGTCTGTCATCTCGGGGCCAGTAAATATGTTCCACTGAGTGCTTCACAGATCACTGAAATGCTGTTTCCTTTATATTCCCAGTGACATTCTTCTTAGACTGCCCTTTCTGCTTTCCTGGTTTGCAATGTGTAAGCAAGTGCTGAGAACCCAAAATGGACTTTGGATCATGAAAAATGGTTGGGCGATTACTGCACTGTAGATATAAAAAGATGGTAACAAGACCTTCATTTGGCAGGAAGAAGGGTTTGTATCTGCCACCAAGAAAGAGAAACAAAGAAAAGAGCAAATCTATTATGATTATAAATTTGGTTCCATTATTTTTCCATTGGAGTTGC